AAAAAATCTTAATAAAAGTATTAGTTGTAGGAGGGGGTGGGGAAGAGATTGGTTAGTTGATTGATTAATAGTTTATTGGTCTTAGAATCATGATGGCTCATCATTAGTTGAGGCATGGTGGGAGGGAAATTAACGTTAGTGGGTAATTATCATGTACTAGGCATTTTATTGAGGGCTTTATGCTCATAGCATTTATAGATTCAACAGATGGGGACCTCAGACTCATAGCAGTTAAGGACACATTTTTCTGAGGTCCCAGAAACCAAAACCGAGGTGGCCAAGATTAGAAGCTCGGGCAGCAGATTCAAAAGCGTGCAGTTTTGCTGTCACATAGATGTTGTTATCTTCGTTGGTCAGTGGAGACGAAAGGGTGGACTAGGAGTTGTTGGCGTCTCAGAAAGAGAAACCGTGCGACTCCCTGTCCTCTGTAGGGGAGCTGTGACGCAGTGTTCTATGTGACCAGTTCTCGGCTACCAGGTCTCTATGGAAATGTTGTTAGAAAAGAAAGTGTATTATATTCATTTAGAATTTCCAAACCCCTCCGTATTGTGTGTAAATTAATGTTTGTATATAATGATATATAGATCTTTATGTTTTTCATTTTATATTGTAGATTTAGATTGAGAGCTTTTCTACAATAGTGAGTTGCTAAAATACTTTAAAAATTCCTTGCCTTATATATATATGTTTACATTATTAAAATTTTATACATATTATTAGTATAATATGTATTTTCTACTAGTTTATTCTTTATCCTCGGCTCCTTACTTTCTTCTGTTTGCTTGTTTTAGCTGACTGACTTTCTGAATAGAAAGTAAAATTTAAGTTATATACATCATTGGCATGAGAGGAAGAAAAATATGATTTACTTTTAGAAGTGGATAGTCTGCTCTTTATTTGGATTAAAGGAACTTTGGGCGGACAGTTTTCTTTTTGGTCTTATTTTTGTTTTTGTTTTTCCTTGAAACATAGTTACTTTGTACACAGAAAATGTGCATTGACTGTCCTGGGACAGCTGTAGACCAGGCTGGTCTCAATCTCACGGAGATCTTCCTGCCTCTGCCTCAAGAGTGCTGGGTGTTAAAGGTGTGTGTCATCACTACCTGGCTTTTTTTGGGTTGGTGGGCAGTGGACAAGTTCTTAAATCCTGCGTTTGTCATGCTTAGACAGTTCTAGGATAGATTCCAGTTCTGTTTGTGTATAAACAAATAATTACATATATATACACACACATACATAATATACATACAGATGTATGCAATTATTACCTAAGAATGCAGAAAGAGAGATTTTCAAAAATTCATTTTATTTTGAATAGATACCATAAACTGGGAACAGGATTTAACCCTAACACATTGGACAAGCAGAGGGAAAGACAGAAAGGACTGCCCAGACAGGTCTTTGAATCTGATGAAGCTCCAGATGGCAACAGCTACCAGGATGAGCAAGTAATATTTTTATTCTTAAGTGACTATGAGAAAGTATTTTTTAGTTAACTAATATATTAATATTTATAGTTTAATATCTTTCATAACAGGATGACCTTAAAAGACGTTCGATGTCAATAGATGATACTCCCAGGGGTAGCTGGGCCTGCAGTATATTTGACTTAAAAAACTCACTTCCTGATGCCTTGCTTCCTAATTTACTTGATCGAACGCCAAATGAAGAAATAGACCATCAGAATGATGACCAAAGGAAATCAAACCGTCACAAGGAACTGTTTGCTTTGCATCCATCACCAGATGAGGTATTGCCTTTGCATATAAAGAAGCAAAGAAGGCCAGGTGTGGTACATTCCTGTCATCCCAGCCACTTGGAAAGCTGAGGCAGGAGGATCACAAGTTTTAGGATTATTTGGGCTACATAATTAGTTCAAGGCAAACTTAGGTATCTTAGTTAAGAACCTATTACAAACTAAACTAAAAGTGGGCCAGGGATGTGGCTCAGTGGCAGAGCACTTACCTACCATGTGCAGGGCTGTAGGTTTCGTCCCCAGCGCCATAAAGGGGCAGCAAGTGATTGTTAAGATACTCTGTTGGGAGTACGATTTGTACTTAGTATTACGGCCATGTTGGAAACAGAGCCATTGGATTTATGAGCTAAATATGCTTTCAGTACTAGTGGGCTGGTTTTTAATGAGGAGTGCACTGAATGTAATGGCTTTTGCTTATACGAATATGGTGTTCTTTGCTGTGTTTAATTGCGAAGACTGAAAGTATCAGAATGCTTAAAGACAAGTGGTAAGTTTTCATATTGGCGTTACTTCTCACTCTGCAGGAAGAGCCAATAGAACGGCTTAGCATTCCTGATGTGCCCAAAGAACATTTCGGACAGAGACTTCTTGTAAAATGTTTATCACTAAAGTAAGTATTTCTTTTACTGTATAATTTCTATTACCTAGGCGATTATTTTAATTACTAGTATAACAAGACTTTAGACTTTATGCTTGTGTGTTGTATTTATGGGGAGTGTTTTTCCTTTTTCTTTTGAAATTATTGTTATTTTTAAGATCTTATATATTTATTTTGATTTTAAGAAAAATGTTTAATTATAGTTAGTGGTTTCCACATAATACATCTACTGTGTATACCTATTCAGAGAAGAGAAAAATAAAAATGTACATATATAAGAGACCACTGTTTTAAATTATTTGGCTTATAAAACTGAAACGGCAACCAGAGTGATGGTGCATGTCTGTAATTGTGGCATTTAGCAGGTTGCAGACAAGGGGCATGGGTTTAAGGCCACTTGGGCTGAATAACAAGACCCTCTGTTTTTCTCTTTCAAAAAAGTCGTTTATTTATATTTTTAAGTTTTTATGAATTTTTAGTGTATACCTTAAAGTTTCTTTTCCAAAGTAATTTTAGTTTTAGAAAGCTTTTGTGTAATGAGGACAGAACAGAGTGACGGTTCATGTATGGTTCCTGCCAGACTCTGGGAGTCATCGTGTTAGTCTTTTTGCAGCATTCATGTTAGGTTACGGAAAGGATAGTTTGGATAGTTCCCCTCCACACATTCATGGAGAAATTGACAGACCTAGATCTCAGTCTTTTACATTAAAATATTCTGTAAGGAAAATCTAGAATTTTTTGCACCATTTTATTTTTTAACATTTTTTATTTAAACATAATCTCATATATCTTTGATCATATTCTTCCCCCTTCCCCAATTCCTCCAAGATCTTCCCTACATTCCTTCTCACGCAACACCATGTTCTCTCTCTTACTTTCTTTGCCTCTGTATCTCTCAGGAAAACAAAAAAACAAAAGTGAAAATTAAAACAAATAAACAAAAACTCAGTAGAACAGAAATACAAAGCCAAAACAGAAAGCACATGCACAAAATGATGGAGTCCATTTTATGTTGGTCAGCTGCTCCTGGGCATGGGGCCTGCTCTGGAGTGGAGTTGATATGCCCGGTGACACTCTTTTGGGGAGAACTTGTTCCCTTTCCCAGCAGGTACTGATTATAAATAGCTTCTTGGTTGGGCTTGCGTTAGGAGTTTGTGTCCACTTCTCTGAGCTGGGACCTCTTCAAGTTGACTTGAACCTGTCAAGTCTGTGCATACGGTCACAGTCTCCGTGAGTTCATATGTGTATTAGTCGTGTTGTGTCTGGAAGATACTGTTTCTTTGGAGTTATCCACCACCTCTGTTCTTAGGGTCTTTCTGTGTCCTCTTCTGCATGGATCCTTGAGCCTTGAGGAAAGGGGTTTAATAAAGATAACCACTTAGGGCTGAGTGCTCCAGAGTCTCGAGAGCACTTGCCACACATTGTCCAGTTGTTCTGTGTTAATTGCCATCTACTGCTAGAAGATGCTTCTCTGATGATAGCTGACCAAAACACTGATCTGAATCCCAGCCAGGTGTCTTATTTTATTTTTGATTATGTATATGAGCAGGTAAATACAGGTGCTGGAGGACACTAGATTCCCTTGAACTGGAGTTACAGTCGATTGTGAGCTGTCCAGCAAGAATGCTGGGAACAGAACTCTTGTCCTTGGCCAGAACAGTGTGTGTGCTCTTCTCTGACGAGAGAGTCGTCTTTCCAGCCCCTGAAATGATTTTCATTTAGAAATAGAAAGCATCTTGGGAGACAAACACAAAGGTTAACTTCATGACCTTTTTTTTCTTTCTTTATTTTTATTTTATTTTACTTTTGGTCTTTTGAGGCAGGATTTCTTTGAGAAAGTAGCCTTGGCTGTCCTGGAATTCAGTCTATAGACCAGGCTGGCCTGGAACTCAGAGATCCACCTGCCTCTGCCTCCCGAGTGCTGGGGTTAAAGGTGTGCACCACCACCACCACCCGGCTTCATGAGATTTTAAAACTCACTTGTTCACTAATCTCCAAATTAAAACCAACTATGGAAGGCTTAATTTTGGTTCCTTCTTGCCCAGGGACAGTGCTGCTCTGATCTTTGTTGCCAGAGCAAGCTTGAGAAGCATTTTTTTATGGCTCACACTGAATAGTATTTAGTTTCCTCGCTGGTACATGAAAAATTTCTAGAGCATTTTAGAGACAGCGGTAAGTGCTGCACCTGTACAGCCTGTCTTCCATCTTGGAAGAGCGTTTACCACCATCTGTGGTGTTTGCTGGTCACTGTTTGATGGGAAGTTCAGCTGACAAGAAATCTCTGATTTTGAGACAGGGTCTCATTATGCATCTCTGTCTGTCCTGGAATTTACTATGTAGACCCTGCCCCTGCCTCCTGAGTGCTGGGGTTGAAGGCGCCCGCACTGTGCCCGGCAAGAAGTCTTTTTCTCTGTTCTGAAGTGTGTTTTTCCATGATGACAGGTAAATGTCATGTACCTTTGGGGTGACCTGTGTCCTGCTTTCCCAGTAGTTTTCACTTAGTTTTTGCTGTCTCCAGAGTAAATCTACAAGCCAAGCTGTATTTTCTTTATTTTACAAACAAGGAAATGTGAATTAAAGAGAATTAGTACTAATTCTGCTTAATATTGCTCAGAGAGTAATTGAAAAAAGAAACCTTGCTTTTCTCATTATAGCGTGTTGTTATAGGTTTATTAGTTTTAACTTAAGAAAAAGGATTTAATTTCTAGCTCTCTCTGTACAAAGGAGATCAGCCAGAGAGATTTCTTTGTCTGTAGTATGACAGTTTTTTTTCTTTGGAAGCCAAAGCTTTATGCATTTAGTTAAGTTCGTGTAGAAACATTAGATAAATTTAGTAGACTTTTCTACATATCTTGACCTCTACATTATATTATACTTAAAGTTGTTTTGGCAGCCACTGTGACACAGGCTTCATACTACAAATTTACCTTATTGACAGGGTCTCATCTTTTCTTGGTTAGAACTTACTGTGTAGCTGAGGATGACCTTGAATTTCTGATTCTCCTTCTTCTCAGTGCTGGGATTATTAGAGTCCGTTCCTTCACCTGGTTTAGGCAGCCCTAAGGGTTGAATCCAGAACTTTGTACATGCTAGGCAAGCACTCTACAACAGAACTACACCCTAGCTTCAAACTTTATGGTCGGAGGTCATCATAACGTGAACTGTATTAAAGGGTCGCAGCATCAAGGTTGAGAGCCACTGCAGTAGAGGATTTTTATATGATTAATAAGTATGTGAAAAGGTGTATATGGAAAAATACTGCAGTACCACTTACCCTGCCGAGTCTCAAGGGTAAGAGGATGCAGAGTAGATATTTAGTGGCTGTCAAGTGCTGAAAGTCTCTGAGATTCCTTTTTTGCTCACCCTTGGTTTGTTTTGCTAGGGGAGGTGTTAGCTGAAAGTGACAGGGAGGAAGAGTGAAGTCTCCCTTCGCAGTGTTCATTTCCCGTATTCCTTCCCTGTGGAGACCTCAGAGGCCACAGCTTCTCTGTCAAGGGTTCCTACCTTGTCTCTTGCTTACCACTTCCTCAGCCTTGGATTCATGATTTCCACGGTTGCTTGTCTAAGTATATACACTGTGGTTTTCAGATTCTGTGCACATCTTTTTGAATGTCTCTTTATTAAACTTCTGATGTGGAAATGTTATCTCTTCTCTTAGAAGGGTGCTGACCTTGACTTACAATTAGCAAACAGGTGCTGTGGAGCAGGATTATTGCAGCTCCAACACTACTTAGCCATCTTTCCTTAGTATGTCTTGCTGTTGGGGCTGTACAATTCAGGATGCTTAGCCACATTCCAGACTTCTACTTTTGAAATATGGGTAATGTTCCTTCAGCTGACATAGCCCAAATGGTCTGCAGCCATGGCCAGGTGTCCTCTTGGGCACATTGTCTTTGGCCGGGGCATCGCTCTGCTGTTGTTTCAATCAACTTCTCACTAACGTTGAGTCAGTAAACATGTCCCACCGTACTGTGTGCTAGCTTTGGTTAAGGAAGTGTATTAAACATCTCAAGTATAAAGTTATAAAGAACTTTTGACATTTTCATCAAATACCTTCCCAGCATTAAAATGATAAGACTTAAGATACGGAAATTTGCCCATTGAGTATTGAGTTAAAAAAGCAGACCACAAAATAGTATTAAATTCTTTATTTTACACAAGGACAAAAAGTTTGGGTAGATGCCCTCCCAACTTGATCTCAGTTCTTTCTGCCCAGAAGGAGTTTCCAAATGCTTCTGATTTTTTCAGAATGTTTTAAATGTATTTAGTTTTTTGGGTGTGTATTAAAACTTTTATTTCAGAGTGAACACACCTAAGTTAATACCCTAATTACAGGTTATAAGGTAATTAGTGCCACAAAATGGATAGAAAATTGTGTGAGACTTAGGAAATTTAATTATTGCTGGAAAAATAAGGAGATTTATAAAGAGAACATATTGGTTTTGAAACTCTGAAAGATATACGTAGAAAGTGTGTCCTAGGAGGAGAAGTGATGCAGAGGTAGGCATGGGTGTAAAAGAGGAAGATATTGAAATAATGAAGTTTGAAATCCAGATTTCTTCTTTCCAAAGAGATCTTTCTGGATCTTGTCTGGATCTCTGGTGTGTGAGTCCCTCTGTGTGTGTGTGTGCACGCGCGCACACGCGCGCGCATATGTGTTTCTGTCCTTCTGTCTCAGTCCATCTGTCCATGTGTGGATCTGTACATGTGAGTATAGGTGTCTGTGGTGTCCTGAACAGGGAGCAAACTCCCCTGAAGCTGGAGTTACAGGATAGTTGTTAGCTGCCTTGGCCTGATGTAGGTTTTGGGAACTGAACTTGGGTTCTCTGCAAGAGCAGCCGTCTTAACCGATGAGCCTTATCTCTATCCCAGATTTATCTTTCATATGTATTTTGAAGTTAGTTTATCTTTTTTCTTCATAAAGGTTTGAGATTGAAATTGAGCCCATTTTTGCAAGTTTGGCTTTGTATGATGTCAAGGAAAAGAAAAAGGTAAGTTTCTGGGATTTGATTGCAGTCATTGTAAGTTTCAGAAACCTGCTTACATGCTTTTATAAGATAAACAAGTAGTGATTCCTAATCTGCTGTTAACTGAAATTTACCCATCGAAGACTAGTTACATATTTTCTTCTTATTGGAAGCATTTAGTTGAAGCCTGGTTTTTGACTTATTGAAAAAAAATCCCTAAATCAAATAGCAGAAGCAACTTTTAAGAAATAGACAAGCAAACTAGGGAGTGGTGGTGCGTGTCTTTAATCCCAGCATTTGGGAGGCAGAGGCAGGCGAATCTTTGTGAGTTCGAGGACAGCCTTGTTGAGGATAACTGAAACTGTTACATAGAGAAATCTTGTCTCGAGAAACAAAGAACAACCAAAAAAAAAAAAAAGAAAAAAAGAAAAAAAAAAGACAAGCTAATACTGGATTGGGAACTGTCTGGAAGGAGTGTGTAAGGAAATAAACGTGGCGATCACTGAAGTTTATTGATGCAGTTGTAACTCTTATAGCCACGGCGGTTTCATGTCTATTTAGGTGGTGCATCTGAAGGAATGAGTTTGGTTTACTATGCTGCTTTTATTGTGTTTCAGAGTTTTCAGGGGGCATTAAACAGCTTTTCCTGATATTTCTTTTCTTTCTTCTTCTCCCTCTTCTTCCCTCTCCCTTCCCCTTCTTCTGCTCTTTCTGGGGTGCTGGGGATGGAGCCCAGGGTTCTGAGCATTCTAGCCTGGAAACTAGCCCTTGGCCACATTTCTTACTTTAGTATACTAAGTCTTGCTGAAGTAGAAACTTGCGGGTGCCTTCAGTGTCAGTATATGACTTGTGATAGAGTTCTTGAAGAGAACTGTTCTAGTAGCGTATATTTGTAAAATGAAAATTGCTGAGATGTTACTAACATAAAGTTTTAAAATTCAGTTTGTAGTCAATCATCTCAGTGGTAATTAGCTTAGCTGTATTTTAAACTAAGGAACTTAAGTCTCATTAGAAAATGTTTCTATGTTATATTCCAAAGTAGCTCTTACAGTTTTTTGACCTTGATGTGGGTTGTAGATTGGTCTCAGTGAAATATATACTGAACTATGAATTAGAATGGAGTGTTTTAGAATATAATGTTTTATTATGTATAATACTTTATATAATGTTTTTGTTTATTTCAAAAATTTTGTAAAAGTGTAATGTATAAATGTATTTTTCAGATTTCAGAAAACTTTTATTTTGACCTTAATTCAGAACAAATGAAGGGATTGTTACGGCCACACGTACCACCTGCTGCCATTACCACTCTGGCAAGATCAGCCATTTTTTCAATTACTTATCCTTCCCAAGATGTCTTTCTTGTGATAAAGGTGAGAATATCTTTAACAAATGTGTTTATTGTTTGGTGTCTATTTCTGTCATTGTCAATATTGCAAACTTAGTAACCTGTCTTTACTTGGTTTTGTCTTTGAGTCTTTGCAATGCCCCATTGGACATATGCTATAGTTACAACCTGACTTTTGACTTTCCCTGAATGGGAAGTAGAGTTAATCATGGCTCTGCAGTCAAACAGCTGTGGGTTATCATAAGGGATTGCCTCACGGGATCATGGGAGCTGACAGCTCTCTAATTTGTAGGGCAAGCTGCCAGATGCCAATCCACCTACCCTTGAGTCCAGAGTCCACGTGATAACGGACTGGAGACTGAGGCTTGGTTTCTGTTACGGTTTTCTTCAGGAAACCTCAGTCTTTGTTTGCAAACCTTCCAACTGATTCACTCACACAGAGGAGATTAATCAACTCTTGTCAAGGTCTACTTTTCTAATTGTTAATGATCTCTTAAAAAAAGAACACTTTCCCAGCAACATTTAGAGCAGTGCTTTCAGCCTGTGGGTCACAACCCCTTTAGGGCTTGAATGATCCTTCCACAGGGGAGACATATCATATATCCTGCCTAGCAGATGTATACATTATGATTCATAACAGTAACGAAATGACAGTTATGAAGTAGCAACGAAAAAATTTTTTGGCTGGGGGCTCATTGCAACATGAGGAACTATATTAAAGGGCCACAGCATTGGGAAGGGTGAGAACCATGGACTTAGAGGAATGTGTGACCAAACAGCTGAATATCCAGGTCTGTTTACATTAACGCTCACAGTTACTATAATGCGATTATTTTACTCAGTTCTAAGTCATATAAATATGAAAGCTAAACTGTTGAGGTTCTAGGTCATTGTGGTTTGACTGTCAACTAGGTACAGTAAGAGTTGCTCTCTGGGCGTAGAGGCACATGCCTATAACTAGCACTTAAAAGGTGGGGGCAGGAGGTAGAAACTGGACTACCTAGCAAGAGCCTGCCTCTGAAAAAGCAAAACAAAGTGAAAAAACAGCCACACAATGCTCCAAGCATACCTTCCCAGAAAAGTAGTTAGAAATTCTAGAGACTAGCTGTGCTGGTGATAAGGTCTATGATTCCAGCTCCTTGGTAGACTGAGGCAGGAGGGTTGCAGTTTCAAGGCTACGTTGGGTTATAGAGTGAGTTTGAGGCCAGCCTGGGCAACTTAAGAAAAACTTGTCTCAAAATCAAAAGTAAAATGAGGGCTGAGGATGTAGGTTCATCCCTAGCAATTGGGGAATAAATGCAGATATTACTGTGCTGCTGTCTTGTTATAGCTTAAAGACTGATTGGGACCAGCAGGTGGCTCCGCAGGCGTGTGTGTGTGTGTGTGTGTGTGTGTGTGTGTGTGTGCGTGCGTGCGTGCGCGTGCGTGCGTGCGTGCGTGTGTGTGCGTGTGTGTGTGTGTGTGTGTGTGTGTGTGTGTGTGCTCGCTTTTTAGCCCAGCTCAAGTACTTGAGTTTGTTCCTTAAATCCATATGGTGGATGAAGAGAATTGACTCTGGCATGCTTGTGGTGCCATCTTCATACACAAATAAATAAATAAATAAATAAATATTCAAGACAGATAAACAGAAGAATTTGGTTACTTGACTTTGGTTAAATTGACCTTGACTTCAGAGCAACCTACAATATATTCCTTAGTCCCTTATTTATGTAAAATTATGATAAAGAGGTAATGAATTTTTTAATAAGATTGTAAAGTGGATTTTCATAAAAATTAGTCCTTTTTACCCACAGGAATAATGTCCCAATTTGTTGGATGCATTCCTATGAATTTAGGTTAAAATTAGTCTTAGTTTCAATGAACAGTCCAAGAGAAATTCACTTTAGAAAATCCTCTTAAGTGAGGTGAGTGAGTTCTGCTGGGCATGGTGGTGCACACCTTTAATCCCGCCTTCACCTCAGAGCAGAGGCAACTGCACCTGTGAGTTCAAGGCCAGTCTGGTCTACAAAGCAAATTCTAGAACAGCCAGACCTACATAGAGAGACCCTACCTTCAAATACCTATTATGATGATATTATATTTATTATATATAAAATAATAATATAATAATTATTTTAAAAAGAGATGAACATGAATGAGCAATATAGTTATTTTACATGGGTAAAATGGTAAGTTTTTATAAACTAGATCATCTTATAAGAAAAGAGCTAGTAAGGCAAAGATGACTGGAATATAGACTGCTTGGAAATGAAGAGGTTTAGTCGTCATAATGGGAATAAATGGCTTTAAGGAATAGAATAAAAAACATTGAATGTAAATGTTCAGTACAAAGAAATAGGTAAATCATGATAAATTCATATGCAAAATCATAATTTGAAAAATGATGTTATGTAACAAACAAGAATAGTGAAAAATAAGTCTATATATCATAATTCTACTCATAAAATATAAGCAAATGTAGATTTGTGTGTATATATAAACACATATGCATGTGTATGTGAGAAATGTTTTGTAATTTCCAAAATGAAAATTATTACTAAATTTTGTTTTGTTTTATGTGTCTGGTTGTTTTCCCTGCATGTGTGTCTGTGATGCCCGCAGAGGTCAGAATGGCATCAGATCCCCTGGGAACTGGGGTTACAGATGATTGTGAACTGTCATGTGGCTGCTGGGAATCAAACCTTGGTTCTCTTGGAGCAGCATGTTCTTCTAAGTGCCAAGCCATCTTTTTAACTTCGGCCCTTTTAAAGGAAATTATTTTGGAGATTTTCTTTAGTTATTAGTGGTCCATGATGATATTTCTCTCTTTTTTTCCCAAGAAGAATAATATAGTTTGGTTTATAGTTTCAATCCATCGTTATCATTTCTTGAGAGGAAATTTCCTTAGCACCTGTGTTGTGTAGTTGTTGCTATACAAGAGCAGAAATGGATATCCCCGTGGACTGTAACAGAAAGTCTTTATTTATAATTCTATTACGGTTTTGTATATTTATCTATATGTCATATGTGTGTGTTGGTCAGCCAGTCTGGGCTCTCGTGTTTTCAGATGGTTGTATTTGTGTGTCTGTCTGTAGGTTGTCTGACACCAGGTGATCGTGTTTGTGTCTGTAGGTTGTCTGGAACCAGTTGAATTGTCTCTGGCCGGAGATGGAGATGTTCTATTTGTGTGTCGTTTTTAGCGGTAAATTCTTGATCTCTGTAGACATACTAAAGAGTAGACTCAGCTGCAAGAGCCGTTTTTCAAGTCTTTGGCAGTTTCACAACAGCTAACATCCCAGTTGCTAAAGCAGGTCATAACAGAACATAAACTCAGGTAACTGGGGTATATCTAATAGGCTACTTCTGGAAGGAAGTTTACAGATCTTGTAGCAAAGGGTGAATAAAGAAGGGTGAAGAATTGGACTGTTAGTGCAGTATTGCTGACTGGAATATTTGGATTCTTATTCAGCAAGGATTATTAATTCCCTACCTTTTTATGTTGTCTTCTTTATTGGCTTGGTCGTTTGTGGCTAAGTAGATGAAGAAGTTCTGATGCCTTCTGACTCCTGTGTGCACCTGCACGTGAAGTCTTGATTTGCTTTATATTGCCGTGACCATGACTAAAAGCAATTTGGGAAGGGGAGGGTCTAAAACGTATTTTTATTTGTAGTAAAATTGCAGTTTATAAATTAACCATTTTTTTAGTATACAGATCAGTATTAAGTATATTCATATTGTTTTGTAATCAGTCTCTAGAATTTTTTCCATTTAGAAAACTAACAACTCCTTATTAAGCCTTGTCCCACCCTCTGCAATTCATTATTCTTTCTGTTTTGTGAGGTGAGCATCTTGAGATGCATCATAGAAGTGGAATCATACAGTGTTTGTCATTTGAGGACTCACTCATTTAACATAGGACTCACTCATTTAACATAATATGTTTTCAAGGTTTAGGTAGGTATTGACATGTTAAACCTCATTTTAGTTGAATAACATTTCACTGTATGTGTGTGTGTGTGTGTGTGTACACTACCATACTTACTATCTGTTTATCCAAGTTAATAGATATTTAGGTTATTTTCATTTTGGGGGGCAGTTGTGAATAATAGTGTTATAAGGAAAGTTGTATAACATTGCACTCCTGGCCTCGCAGGCATGTACAAAACACATTCAGTCCACCTTTAGAAGCCCCATAGTCTTTAATAAGAACCATCCAGAAGTTAAAGTCTCTTTGACTGAAGTCAGTCTCTTAACTCTGAGTCTCTGTAGCATCTACACAAACAATAAAAACAAGGACATAGTCCCAGAGTGTAGTGCCGCAGCGTGGTAAACATTCCCTTTTCAGAAGGAAGGGATCAAGAAATCAAGGCAGACTAAGGAAAGGTCAGACCAGATCCTTCCACATTCCATCTTTAAACCTGCTCCAAGTTTCTGTGAGGCTATGATCATCTTTGTCACAGTGACAACCCTACTTTTGGTAGAAAGTTCTGTATTAGTTACTTTTCTTCCTGGTCTTATCAAATAGCCAATGACAAGCAACTTAGAGAATGAAGAACTTATTTTGGCTAAGAGTTTGAGAAGATTCCCTCCATAATGGAGGGGGAGGCCCAGTAGCAGGTGGCATCATGGTGACAAGGGTATGCAGTTGAGAACTGGAAGCAGAGAGCATTCAGGATGAATAAGTGGGCTGTAAACCTCAGTGCCTGCCCTCATTGACCTACTTCTTCCAGTCAACCTCTACCTCAGTGTGTTCCATAGTTTCCCAGGCCAGCTCCACTGGGTGGGGACCAGGTGTGGAAACACATGAGTTTATTCGGGATATTTTACATTAAGCTATAATAAAATCATTTATTTATTGGTTAATTGGATTTTTCACCATCACGGTTGTTTTTCCTGAATTGTAGGGGTTCTTTAAACATTTGAAATACTAATTTGTAGTCAGACATACACTTTGCAAGTAATTTTATCCCATTTTAAGGTTGTCTTTTCATTCTGTTTATTTTGTTCTTAATGTAGTAAGTATTAAGTTTTGATACAGTTTGTCTGTTTTTTTATATATCCCTGTACTGTCACATTCAAGAACAAATTCTTCAAGTCCATGAAGAACTTTTAAAAAAAAGTTTTATAGTTTTAAGTCTTGCATTTAAGCATTAGGTCCATTTGGACTTGACTTTTAGATAAAGTCTAAGTAAGGATCCCGCTGTATTAGCAGCCCCCATAGCCATATTTGTTGGAAAGAGTGCCCTTTCAACATTGAGTCATATTGGCATCCTTTGTCAAAAAACCCTTGACTAGACTGGGAATTGACTAGACTAGCTCAGTGATTAAGAGCACTGTGCTGCTCTTGCAGAAAATCTGTTTTTTTTTTTTCTTCTAGGATCACATGGTGCTAGGGATTTGAAACCCTCTGTGGCTCCCACAGGGGCCAGGCACATATGTAGTGCACATACATAAATGGAGGTAGAAGAGTCAAGACTTAATTTTTTAAAAACTTGACTGGACTTCCTCTTCTGTTTCGTTGTGGGCATATCTCATTTATTCATTATTGTTACATCAGTGTGACCTGATAAATGTGGGAGAAAAGATTTATTTTGGCTAATTGTTTCATAGGGAGTCTAACCATCCAAATGCCTGAAAGACACCAGGGAGGGAGGACCTATTTGGGCTCATGGTTGTAGAAGGATTCCAGCCATCCAAACACCTGACAAAGAGGAAACCCTCATTTTGACTTAGTTTCAGAGGAACTGCAGTCCTTTTGGAGCAGAGTTGAGAAGGCTGTTTGTGACCATAGGTGCATGAAATGACATTTCTTTAAATTGTGGTTTCCAGAGAGCAGAGGATGCTTGACTGGAACCCAGTGTACTTTATCACAACCAGGCTCCACTTCTTAAGTGCTCATAACCTGCAAGCCTGTGACCCTCTGTTCGAATCAGAACCTGTGGCTGGCGTCCCAGAGTTAAAGTGCATCCTTTGTCTTCATTCGGGCCCCGGTTCTGTCCACTTGTCATCAGCCTCACATCCGGAGTGAGGTCTCTACGCATTCTCTTTTCCTCAAGCTTCAGGTTTCTCTTGAGATTTTTTTCAAATTTAAGCTGGGTTTTTCTTTTTCTGTCAAAAAAATCATTGGAATTTTGATAGGAATTTCATTAATTGTGTATAATGGTTAATGTTGATTCCTAACTCTGTTAAATCTTTCACTTCACAAATTTAGAATATCTTTGGGAATTTTTGCATTTTTATTTCTTACAGCAACATTTTACTATTTTTTATTGTATAGATTTTTAATTTCCTTGGTTATGTTTATTCTTTTAATTTTCTTTTTAGAATTCCTCAGTGTTAATATGTACACTTTGTATACTGAAGGTTTTTTGTTTATTAGTTTTAAGGGTTTTTTTGTTTCTTTGTTTGTTTGTTTTGAAGCAGAATTTCATTATATAGCCTAGGCTAGCTGAGAATGTGCTAGGCCTGACGTGAGTGGGCCTCAGAATTTGAATGCTGGGATAGCCGTGAATGCGGGCATGCTCAACAGCGGCTAGCATACAGGGTTGGATTTTTCTCTTCCTGCATGAAATCTTTGGAGTTTTCCACATAAAAGATTGTGCTGTCAGAACAACAACAACAAAAAAGATGATGATGATGCCGATGATGCCAAGTGTAGAGGCACACACCTTTATTCCCAGCACTGGAGAGGTGGAGGCAGGTGGGGCTCTGAGTTTGAGGGCAGCTTGGTCTACAGAGTGAGTTCCAAGACAGCCAGGGCTACACAGAGAAACCCTGTCTCCACAAACCAATAATAATAATAATAATAATAATAATAATAATAATAATAATAATATAAATAAAGGTCACACTGCCAGTAGAGATCATTTCACTCTTTTCATTTCACGTGTCTGTTATTTCTTTTGCTTGCTGATTGCTCTGGCTCTAACCCCAGCACAGGTTTGTATACATGCTAAACTGGGTCTCCTTGTCTTGTTGCTGATTTTAGTGGGAATGTTTTGAGTCACTCTTGAGAATGTTAGTCATGTGCTTTTCATATATAGCTTTATTAGATTGAGATAGTTTCCTTGTATTCATAGTTTTTTGAGTGTTTCTATAGGGAAATGATTCTGAATTATTTTTTAATCCTCTTTTGCACAGATAATTATTCCTCTTTCCTCTGACATCCCATTAATGTGTGCTGTATTAATTTTTAGTATGTTGAAGCATCCTTACATTTCTAAGTGCATGTATTTTTAAAACCTTAGCTAAACTTTTTTATGTTTGCCTCTGACAGCTAGAAAAGGTTCTACAGCAAGGAGACATTGGAGAGTGTGCAGAGCCATATATGATTTTCAAAGAAGCTGACGCCACCAAGGTACCTTGTTAGGCCCTGATTTTCCCATGTCACTGCTATTGTAATTTGGGAAAAATAAAAACATGTACGGTCCTTTTAAAAATTTTACTGTTAATTTCTTTCTTTCTTTTTTTTCTTTCATGCTGATCCCTGTTTTCTTTGTCATTTAGCATGTGTCAAGTCCTGTGCTAGTCTTAAGGGTCTCTTCTACTTACATCTACTTCTTCAAAAGTTGTTTTTGGTGGGAGAGGCAGAGAGATAACTTAGTGTGGGTAAAGGCATTTGCTGTGCAATCTTGGTGACCTTAACTTGACCCCAGACTCCAAAATATTCTCTTCTGCACTTGAAGACACACACAATGAAGCACTCCTCCCATGATTCAGCTTCCACTAATAGTATTAGTAGTAATTGTAATTTCAGTAGAGCTTAATAAATATTTCTCTTGATGAGAACTAAGCAATTAACTTATAAATCATTTAAAAGTTCTTGTTGTTTACAAAATAGAGATGTTGATGAAACTTCCTAGCATTGAAATTACTGTGATTTTTGTCATCTTTAGAGAAAAGAAAGATGGGCGAGGGTCATGTGCACATATTATCTAAGTAGGAGGCTAGGAAAGAGCGTAGTGTGGTATCATTAGCAGCTGCCAGTAATGAAATATCCCAGCTATGACTTGTAAAGTTGTTTTACTGTGAAGGAGGGAAATAGCTGAGCTGATTTCTAACAGTCTGTAAATTACAACAACGTGAGGATGGGAGCAGGGACACAAACAGACCAACAATAAAAGAAAGAAAGGAAAAACACTGCTGCTGCAGGACCGAACTCTGGAGTGTGATTGTGGGCCAGCCACATGCCCACATGTAAGTCATCCTAAAGCTGGCTCAGAGTTCAGGGCTCTGAAACCTGTCATTTCCTGCATTTAGAGTGAGGTGTGTGCTGCTGAGTGTCCTGCTGTGGGGCTCAGCTGGTGTCCTAGTTTGCTTTCTATTCCTGTGATAAACACCATGACTAAAAACAGCTTGGGTCATATCTACAGACACCCATAGTCCATCTGACTCAGGATTACTGTTGCTGCGGTGAAGCATCAAGAACAAAGCAACTTGGGGAGGAAAGGGTTTATTGGGCTTACATTTCCACACTGTAGTCCATCGCTGAAGGTAGTCGGGACAGGAACTCAAACAGGGCAGGAACATGGAGGTTTGCTCAGCCTTTATGCAGGCTTATAGAACCCAGGACTACCAGCACAGGGATAGTACCAACCACAGTGGGCTGGGGGCTGGGCCTTCCGGGCTGGGTCCTCCCCCATTGATCACTAATTAAGAAAATGCCTTACAGCTAGTTCTTATGGAAGCATTTTAATTGAGGTTCCCTCGTCTCTGATGACTTTAGCTTATTGCAAGTTGACATAAAGCTGGCCAGTGCTCCATCACTGAGGGACATCAGGGCAGGAACCTAAAGGTAGAAGACCATGAGAAATACTGATTACTGGCTTGTTCCAGGTTCATGTTTCTGTCTTTCTCATACCTCCTGGGACCACCACTAAGGTGGCACTGCCTGCAGTGGGCTGGGCTCTCACACTTCAGTTACTAATGAAGAAAACATCCCACAGACTTGACTACAAGCTAATCTGATGGAGGCAGTTTTCTGAATTGAGGTGCCCTCTTCCCAGATGAACCTGGTTTGTGTCAAGTTGACAAAAACCTAAAGAGTACAGCTAAGGGATATAGAAAACTACCAAAATGGTACCAGTATCTGTTGCTGTGTCTAGTGTACATCCAAAAAAGTTCTTGCTTAAAGAACCCGAATATCACATATAGCTCATTTGGTAGACGTCTTTGCCAGCATGCACAAAGCTAGTTCACTCCCCAGCACCTCGTGAAACTGTTGTAGCTTTTGCCTGTAGTCCTGGGGTGGAAGTGGTAGGATGGAGGTCCAAGGCCGTCCTTCAGTTCGTAGCAAGTTTGAGGACAGTCTGGAATGCATGAACTCCTGACCAAAAAGAAAAGAAGGAAGAGAAAGTCGCCTAAATACCAAGCGTGCTTCTATCTATCAGTCAATGTAAGTATGTACAGAAAAAATAGACTAAGGCACTGGTGTACTTATGAGTTTATCCTGTAGCAGAACTGATTTAATGTGTTAAATTATACCCAGGGGAAAGCCATAACACTTTAACGTGAATTTAGCTACACAATTAAAGATCAGAAAAGTTTATCATGAGCTCAGATCTTTGTATGAGCAGTTTTTTTTTTGTTTTTTTTGTTTTTTAAAGAAAAAATTTGAGAAAGCCTCAGTTTCTGAGAAATTTTTAAGGAAGACTCAGGTTTTATCTGGAGCTCTTAAAGGCAAACCTCTTCTAGATCTCTTTCATTTCTAGTTGTTCTGGCATTAAATCTTGTGTTAAAAAGATGGTTTATGGTGTCACTTCCTTTCTTGAAAGATCACTTACAGTACATCCATGTGCTTGGCCCTCTCACCTTTCTGTTTTGTCAAGGTGATGTAATCATAAACAGAGATTTCAGTGCTCTCTGTTCCATGCATCCCTTCGTAGAATGAGTTGAGGTGCATTGTTCAGATTGTATTTTAACTGATGAAAGTTGCTGTTTTCTCCTCTTCACGTTGAGGATAAAACCTGGGTCGTTGCACGTGATGGGCAAGCAAGCACTCCACTTCTGAGCTGCATGCTCAGCCTTTGTTTTGCTGTCTTTGCTAAGAACTGAACACTTAACCTGCCCTCTGTACTGTCTGAAATAGCCCTTAGGTGGTTACCTTCAAGTGTGATCATGGATAAAGTTATGTTTTACAGAATAAGGAAAAATTGGAGAAGCTGAAAAGTCAAGCTGATCAGTTCTGCCAGAGACTTGGGAAATACCGCATGCCTTTTGCTTGGACAGCGATTCATTTAATGAATATTGTTAGCAGTGCTGGCAGTTTAGAAAGAGATTCCACAGAAGTAGAAATCAGTACTGGAGGTAAGATTGCTTTGTATATGTTATTTTTAAAGCATTAATCTCTCCGCCTTCTCTAGGCTCACTTTATTGTAGCCCGGGCAGTGTCCTGCAACTTGTTAGAAGATTTCCTTAGCTGGGGCTGGAGCTACAATAATAATAATGCCTATAATCCCAGTGCTTGGCTGAGTCAGCAGCAGTTTCAGTTCCTGGTAGAAAAGACTTCATTTATGAGGCTCTGCCACCTCTCACCCTAAATCAAAAAGAAGGGGAAATAAATTTAAATATTATGGTTTTTTTAAAAATACAATTTGCATGTTATAAAGTCACCCATTTAAAGTGTATGCTTTCTTTTGCTGTGATCATGGGGCTCTAAAAGTACCACCAAAGTCAGTGTTTAGAACATGTTCATACCTTTTAGTAATTACTCCTCATTATCCCCAAATTCCCAAGCCCATCCCTAAACAGTCCCTAGTATACTTTCTGTCTTTATGGGTTTGTTTATTCCAGGCATTTAATGTAAATAGAATTAAATAATGTATGGTGTTGGTGGCAAATTTGTTTTATATAATGTTTTTACAGGTATATTACCTGTGTGTAGCATGTTTTGGTATTTGATTTCCTTTTGTTGTCATGACACCCCATTGTATATATATACTGCATTTTGTTTAGTCTGTTCCTTATTGATGATAATTTGAGTTTATGAAAATACTACATTATTATATAATCATTTTTATTTGTAAAATCTAGTGATGGCACTTGATTCGTTAATATAATAATTTTAGTGCTTTGTGTTTTTTCCTTCAGTTTAGTTAAAGGTTTGTCAGATTTTAGTAGTCTGTTGACTTTATTTTTTTAGTTCCTGTTTTACTTATTTCCATTCTACCACTGTTCTTATGTAACTTTCTGTTTTCTTTGGGTTTAGTTCCTGAAAAAAGGTTTCAGTGCATAGTGATCCTCATGACTTGATTCTCATTGTTGTCATGGAGACATGGGGAATCACGCCCAGCTTCTTTAGACACATAGTTTCCTAAAGTGTGAGATGAAATTACAGTTTCAAGAGTTTGTTTTCTTTATTTTAAATTTGAGTCTTGCTATTAGCACAGACCAGCCTTGAATTTATTGTTCCTTTCGTTAGTCTTCTGAGTGCTGGGATTATCAACTGTGTCATGTCAGGATGAGGTATTTCTTTTGATTAGAAGCATTTCTGGTGATTACGTCCCCCAGAGCCTGTAGCAATATCTGGCTATCATCACCTGCCCTAGAACCCTGCTGTAGCAGTATCTCACATGTTTTGGTGTGCTTCATCTCCATATTTCTTACTTTCTGATTTCCTTTGGGAACATCTCTTTCTTAGTAGCTTTTTAGAAATAGTGTTTTCTTTTTCACCTATGTATATTTGTGAATTCCCTAATTATTCCTTTATTGTTAATTCATAGTTTATTCAAGTCTTAGTAAATATTTTGTTTTCATCTTTTGGTCTTTTCATATCTTGTCTTACATCTTGAAGAATGTCCTACAACTTGTTGATAATAGTATGTATTCTGCTTTTGCTTAGTAGAGTATGGTATAGCCGTCCTTAGACCACAGTGCTTGCATAGTTATAAAATTCTTCTTTCTGTGTTAATCTTTAATATTGTTGTCCTTTTAGTTCACAAAGTGGGGTTATGTTGTATGTGTGGGTTTGCATTCCAGCAGCATGGAGGGGAAGATTATCATGCCAAGTCTTTGAACTTGCACCTTGTTTGAGTTAGTTTCAGCTCAAATGCTAAGGCTGAGAGACAGTTATAGCTCACTTAGGTGGGTCCTTCATAGTGGTGCATAGTTCTCTTGTGCCGACTTGCTGCATCGGTGGTCATACAGTTAGATCATCATATGCTAGAGACTCCATATTGGCCACTGTAGAAGTGAGGCAGAAGATTCAGATGGTACGCTTTCTTACTCCTTTCCCCAGTAGTGAGTCCTTCTAGAGTAACCTGTCAGCTGAGTGAAGTACAACTTTCAACACGAATGGATTATTTCTCATATTTACTTTGTATAAAACTGACAGTTTTCTTTCCTCTTCTTTGGCAGAACGCAAAGGTTCTTGGTCAGAGAGGAGGAACTCTAGTCTTGTTGGTAGGCGGTCTCTGGAAAGGACAACCAGTGGCGATGATGCTTGCAACTTGACCAGCTTTCGGCCTGCCACCCTCACTGTGGCAAATTTTTTTAAGCAGGTAATGCTCTGTTATGTAGGGACTTAGGAGAGGTGTTAGTACAGGGTCTCACCTGCTTTCAGGAGAGTGGTAACTGCTCTTTCATGTATGTCCATGCCATAATGTCAAGGACTTCTAACAACTTTCCGAATAAAAATGAATATAAGAGTAAAAACTAGTAAGAATATGAAATAATTGACATTGTGTTTATTTTATCACTAACTTTATTTAAATGTTTACATTGACATTTTTAATGCATTAAAATTTGTCTTTTATACCTATATCTTATTCAGTTGTAATTATGAACTTTATTTTAATTGTTATTATCTTTAATTCTGTGTGTGCATGTGTATCTGTGTGTGGGCATGTGGGAAGTTCCTTGCAGAGACCAGTGACATCAGATTGTCCTGAAGTCACAGTTACAGGTGGTGAAAGCCCGTATTATTATGGGTGTTAGGAACTGAACTCGGGTCCTCTGCAATAGAGCACATGGTCTTCACTCTGAGCCGTCTCTAGCCCCCAGTGGCCTTTACTCAAGCACTGACAGCTTGTGAATTGTCAGAGTGATTTGTGCTTCCCCACCCACCATGTGCTGAACTTGGCTAGCTTACCCGTGGTTCATGGAGCAGAACTTCCAGACCCCACCTCTGTGCTGAAGTGTTGTAGAAGTAACAACATACTTTTTTTTTTAATCAGACATTTTATTCTTGAAGATCTTTTCTGTCTACTTCAAATCAAATCAATGTTTTTTCACATGTCATTTCACGGAAACCAATTTAGTAGGTAACATGCAGCTTTAAAAAAAGAGTTTTGAAAATCTAAAAAATAAGTGCATTTCATATATTGAGTTTAAATATTGCTTCCCAGATCCCTCCTTTCCCCCCTCTTTTTTTTTTTTAATGTGAATGCATTTGTACGTGTATGCATATACTGGGTTTTGATGTCAAATGGGTTTTATATTGTGAATGAAGATTAAAAAAATTAAAAATGTGTTTTATGTGACCAGATGACCCAAAACTATGGAAGAATGAGAAGAAAACTTTTTATTAGTGTGACAGACTAGTGAGATGTACCAACCATAAATTTGGGAGCAGATAAGAAGACGCTAAGAATTATCTCTGTACCTCCTTCTGAGGTCTTATTCTGAGTGGGATGGAGCAAACCCTGGCCTCCTAGTGTGTTGTACTTGAGAGGACAAGAGCAGAATGCATGTGCTTTGAGTTGAAGAAGTCTCCTTGAAGCCATGGTCCGTCAACAGCTTTGAGCATGGATGGAGGGCTTTAAATTAAAGCATTATTTAACATATGTAAAACAAAATGAGTTATCTGTATTGATGGTAATATGTAATGTTTTATTACATGTGTACATTATGTAATGTTTATGTAGGTTAAACAGTCCAACTTCTCAAATTTTGGTTACATCTTTACTGTGAAAACTACATGTTCTCACAGTATTTTGAAATTAGAGTTCATCATTTCAATCTATAATCATTCTGTTGAATAGTCACACTCTAGTTGGCTCTGTTTTTAGTACTAGGAGTGGGGTACCGTACAAATACTCATAAAAAGTTAAAAATAAATGATTGCTTGAAACACAGGGCAGTGCAAAGCTTTGCAGTTGACATTCTTTATTGAAAATATTTAGCTATAAATATGTACTATTTTGTAGGCATTTTAAATAGCTAGTATATTATACATTACAAAAATGCAAATTAAGTGAAAAGCCAAGACTGTGGTTTTATTTAACAAAGTAGAATTCAGTCAATAAATTTCCCTTAAATGAGATTCAGCTCCACTTCCCCATTTTGTGAGAAATTACTCCCTGTAGTTGTAGTGGTATAGTTAATTATGTAATGCTTCAAGTGTCCACAATTGTTAGAAATACACAGAGGTTTTAAAAGAAAAGTAAATCCATACAGCGTTTGTAAAGGCATTTGGCTTATATATTAATAAGCTTGTTTTTGTGTGTGTGTCAGGGGCACACAGTACTAAACAAGCAATGATGTGAAGAGTTTTTCAGCTTGACCACTCTCGTGAGTTTAACTTCTTCCCTCATGTGGAGATTGGCTGGATCAGCTGATCTAGATTGGTTTCTAGAAAAACTCAGTTTTTCCGTCCTCTACTAGAGGCAGAAATTCAAGAACGGGCTAGCCAGCTTGTATGAATGCTCCAAAAGTCTCAGTTTAGGTATTTGTAGAGGGGGGTGCGTAGAGCCACGCATAGGGAAGGAAATTATGTCCCACCCAGTATAAGGCACAGAAACATATGGTAATCATCACTAAAGAATGAGGGCTAGCTGGGTGGTGATGGCCTACGCTTTCAGTCCCAGCACTCGGGAGGCAGAGGCAGGTGGATCTCTGAGTTTGAGGGCAGCCTGGTCTACAGAGCGAGTTTCAGGACAGCCAGGGCTACACAAAGAATCTCTTCCTGTCTCAAAAAACAAAACAAACAAAAGAGTGGAGATTAGTAATAAAATTTAATGCATTAAGAAAGTAAAAAGTCTAGAGATAACCTTCAGTTATCTATATGAAGGTCTATATTCTGTGCTCAATAAAGAGAATATGCAGCTAATGTAAAATTTAAATTAATCCTATAAAGCCTCTACCTTTTATTTATCTATTTTTATTTTTTTGGTTTTTCCAGATAGGGTTTCTCTGTATATCCTTGGTTGTTCTGGAACTCTCTGTAGACCAGGCTGATCTTGAACTCAAAGAGATCTGCCTGCCTCTGATTCCCAAGTTCTGGGACCAAAGGTGTATGACACATCTTGGCATGATTTTTGTTTTATAAAGCTACATTTTCTATCTTTAACTCAATAAGAAAACTATCTTAGCAGTACTAAGTCAAAATAGCCACTGGTGAGACATTGCAGTCATTTTCCCAGGTAACGTTACAAAGGGAGTTCTGTCTTCCATGCTTTAAAAAAAAACGTGAGCTGGCACAGAAACAAAGAGGCTGAAATATGTCCAAATCACTTACAGTGATAGGATCTTGCAAGCAGTACTCAGACATGACAGTAAAGCACGTAAAAAATAGGTAAAGATTTGCTTTCTAATAAAATATTAAAATCAACCTAAATATTTGTAGTTCAAATTAAAAAAAACACAAACACAATTTAGGTTTTCTCCCCCCCTCCTGCTTTTCAACATCAGCTGTGGCCTTTTGGAGTTCTCTCTCTGGTCTTTATATCAGGATAGTTGTGTTATTCCTAACTTCATTATTTTCGTTATTTATTTTTGTGAAAATGTAGCATGTCTAAAGATTTTGGATTTGAGAAGTTTTGGAATATAAAGTTAACAAGAGATATATGATCTAAAGCAAGACTTGTAATTGTCCGATGTTCTTGTATTTGACTTCTTTTGGTTCCATTTTATGTCTGCATTCTTAATTTTCTTTTTATGCCTACCTTTAATTTGCATCGATTGTCTGCATACTAGATGTCCTATAATACTTTATGGGCTAAGTAATAGATCATAACTGTGTACATAAATTAAGATGATTGGTAGCATTATAAATCTCAGGCTTGAAAACAAGAGACAGGTTAGGAAGCTATTTATTCTAATAAATACGTCAGTCTTTCACTCTGGCAGCACCATATGCAGAAGTCGGGGTTTATTTACAAACACTAAAAATTTATTTCCCATTTCCTGCTTTTGTTTCATTAAATACTTTTTCTCAATATCATTGAAATCAGGAAGGAGACCGCTTAAGCGATGAAGATCTGTACAAATTCCTCGCCGATATGAGAAGACCGTCTTCTGTCTTACGGAGGCTCAGACCAATTACAGGTATTTTCAGGTTTTGAGTGATATGGTAATTATCACTGATAATTATTTGCCCCTTTTCCATTTATCTGGCCCATACATCTATCTGTGCTCAATACATGTCAGTGCTTTCTGTCTCACTACCACGTGGGCTAACAATTTGGATTCTGAATTCAGAACCATTATTAAATGAGCTCTAAAATGAGAATGATGAATTATAATTGTGGCTGAATGTGCATATGGACAGCAAGTGTACAGAACCGGGTCTGTGGAGCCCTGGCTGTCCTCTGCCTGTTGGACGTTGGGATCAAAGGTGTGCGTCTACACGCCCAACTTGCTCTCTCGTTCTTTAATTCTTTACTTCCCATTCGTTCAGGTAGCATTTACTATTTTACATGCACTTATGTATGGATAAGTCATTTTTAACAATTTGAATCTTGATAAAATGGAATGATTTCAGTATCTAAATGCCTGATTATTGGATTTCTATACTGTTCATCACAGATTTTTATTATTTTTTTATTATTTTATATTATTTTATTATTTTATATACCAAAAATCCTACTAAGAATAATCTGTGTTAGTAAAAATTCTGTTGCTGTGGCAGATTGCTTCAAATGAAGATAAATTACTTAAGATTAATCAGCTTAAAAGGAGGAATGTTTCCCTTTGACCCGCTTTTCAGAGCTTCCAGCCATTAGGTGGGTGGCTTTGCTTTGGGACCCATCCTGAAGTGGAACACTTCGGTGAAACTGCACGGGGTCCAGCAAAGCTGCTTAGTTTATGGTTCGCGGAAGCAGATGGAAGGATCAGGGGATGCTTCTCAGGGGCACACTTCCGATGGTGGAACTTCCTTCCACTAGGCCCTACTCCCTAACATCTCTGCCATGCCCTAGTTAGTGCCATATCCTAGTGAAAAGTCTTTGGGAGCACTCAGTCCCAAGAGTAGCCATCACAGAGCATTTATGTTCACAGTGACTTTATAATGTATTTTTCACAGCTCAGCTGAAGATAGACATTTCTCCTGCACCTGAAAATCCCCATTATTGCCTAACCCCAGAGCTGCTTCAGGTGAAGCTTTACCCTGACAGCCGAGTCAGACCCACCAGAGAAATTCTGGAATTTCCTGCCAGGGATGTCTATGTTCCAAACACTACTTACAGGTAAGATATACAATCTTGGTGAATTCTGAGATAAAATACTGTATATTCTAATATTAAAGTAGAACTAGGATGAAACTCTTTAAAAATCTTAGGTATATTTATTACTTTTTCTATCTCTTATGCCTTCCACTCTTAAAGGACAATTTTATTAATAATTGTCATATAGGTAATAAGCTGTACCTGTGTGCCAGGTATAATGTTAATTACTTTACAAAATATAACCCTCATATCCTAGGCAGTTAAGCTGAAGGACAGAAAAATTTATTGCTGAGCATCACATTTTAGTTTGGTGGTGGCCAGCATTTGATTGTGGGGCTGTTTGGTTAAAGCGTTTGAACTGCAAATTTATGTTTCCTCAAATGTTAAGTATTAGTAGAATTTTGGGTCACACACGAATCTAATGCTTATGCTTCTGGCATCAGGTTGTAGGTAATTAGCACTTGTGGAGTGTATGCTGTGTAGACAGCTGCAGGCTGTTATACATATGGCTTCTCAGACTGAACACTGTGCAACTGCTGTCTAGGCCTTTGCACACACTGCCCGAGAATGATGTTCCTTTGCTGTTGATAATAATTAATTGTGAGATGAGGACTTGACATGTCTGTTGGGAAGTCTAGCGGTAGCTCAGAGACAATCTAAAGCAGAGCTTGGGTTTCAGTCCGGACTCACGTGCCACCCTAATAGTGCTACTGTCATTTTCCAAGGTCCTCAGGCCCAGATTTTTAGAATCATAGTGCTTTACTTCTTTCCTTACCTAAATTTCATTTGGTCAACAAGTTATATAGATTCTACTTTTAAAATGTACCTCCAATCCAATGCTTTTTACCATTGTACCTTTTTAAAACTCTAGTGTAAGTTACCATATAGAGCATTACTGTCAGGTAGAAATATCATTAAATGACGCTTGTAATTTACAATTTTATAGTTGCTATATATTTATAATCAGGTGAAAGTAATAATTTTAATTGTTTTTAAAAACAGTATAAATAACATATAATGCAAAATGATATTTTATTCTTTTCTCTATTTTCAGCATCTCATGTGTATTTTAGGTACACTTAAAATTCTTACAAGCCACATGTGATTAGAAACCTCTGTGTTGTATGGCTGCTAATCTCAGATTTTGCTGTACCTTCCTAGGTGATTTTATTTCCATTCTTTTCTCTGTCAGTTCTTGACATTGCACCTACCAAGACTTTCACACGTTATTTTTGGCTTCTATTACAAGCAGAAAATGTATTTATTCCTTACAGTAGTGTATTAGACTATGTAGTCTTTCATCTTTCTCTCATACTCTGGTGTCCTTGGTTTTCTCATTGCATGTCACCTCAGTGACCTCTGTTTGTCTGTGAACAAAGTTTTACCTAACATTCACCATCAGAATCTCTTTGCCTTTCTTGCTTTTTCTCCTGTCTTTACACACATAAACACTTCTTCCTAGAGGTTCTCAACCTTCTCACTGCTAACTGGTCTACTTCCTCACTCTCTCAGCTTCTGCCTTCCTATGCCATTATCTGGGAGTTATAATTATGTCATTATTTTCATTTGAATATAATTGCTGTAAAAGGCAAAGACATAGTTTATAGATTACTTTTCAGCATCTGTAATATCCTAGAACATAAAAAGCACATAATAAGTATTTATTCAGTGAGTTAAAAATACAAAGCTAATAGGAAAAATACAAAGTAATAGGAAAATGGGGTTTTCAGTCATGGATATGTCTATGATTTCTGGGGCCACTTTCACTTTTGGGGTGGTTTAGGGAAAGTGACATATTGGCTATTCAGGTTTTATTTATTTATTTTTTGAGACAAAGTCTCTCTGTATAATAGTCCTGACTGTCCTGGAACTCTCTAGGTAGACCAGGCTGGCCTCGAACTCACAGTGATCTGCCTGCCTCTCTGCCTCCCAAATGCTGGGATTAAAGGTGTGGTCTATGACAGCCTGGTGTATTTATATTAATAAAACATGAAGGAACAAACATTCAAATATGTTCATAAAAACTTGTGAGTAGCATTTAAAGGAAAAAAGTAATACAAATTATTCTACAAGTTATGTGTGAGACTGCTTTATAGACAGGAGTAAGGAGGGATTGCATAACCAAAGCTGCATATTGCCTAATTCAGAGACCTTCAACTCTGCTGCCTGCCCAGGAGAGCAGGTTCTGGAAGAAGACCTACAATTTGTGTTTCTCCCCCTTCCCTTTGCTTGAAGTAGCTCAGAATCAGAGAAAATAGTAATTAGGAACTTTGAGTTGTCTTTTGTTCATGTTTCTGCTTACCATTGTTATTTAATTACATTGTAATATTTTCTGAAAAAATTATATGAGTATGCTCGAAGATCACATAGTAGAATAAGGCTTAAAACCGAAAACAGACTAAGTTCTGTTGCCAGCCCACCCCGTCTTGATGCCACAGTCCATCTTCAGGCAAAGGGCTCTCTTCTGCTTTTTGTGTCGGTGTTAGTTGTGTGTATTATGAACTCTTCACAACTGAGCAGTGTGGATGACTGGATTTTACTCCTGTGTTCTGAAGCTTGTTCTTTCTCCTAGAATAGTTATGTTATTTTTGTCCCCCACCCTTCTGTCTTTCATCATTAAAACTTGCTGAAATGTCTGGCAGTGCAGCGAGGAATGTTTTTTCTTGTCTTGAAGCTTTCAAACAGTGGATGCTTTCTAAGGTCGCCAGGCTGACTATATGTAGTTTCTGTCTAGAAGCCAATTTCCCATCCTAGAGATTCTTTACCTTTACTTATTACATTTCCGCCATTATCCTAGACATTACTTACCATTAGTCATTATCCACTCTTTACCATTATCTTAGAGATTTTTTTTAAACCCAGCGAGGGAGTCATATTTCCCATGTTTTTCTTTCTGGATGTATTTATGTTACTGAAAACTTTCAATAGCTTCCTAATTATGATGTATGGAGGTACTTTAAGAAATGTACCTGATAGTGTTTTTATTTCGTTGTTTATTTTTGAGATGAGGTCTTGCCAGGCTGTTCAGGATGGCCTTTCCTAGCCCCTGGGCTTAGGTGATCTCCCTCCCCAGGCTTTCCTCTCACTGACTACAAGTACATAAGTACATGTTTCCTCACTTGGAGGTTGATGTTTTTGAATCTTCCCAGATTGACAGTTTTGTTAGGTACAGAATTCTAAGTTGTGTTTTTGTTTGTTTGTTTGTTTTTGTTTTTTTTTTTTGCCAGCAGCTTGACAATGTCTTTGCTCTCTTGCTCGTGAGTGTCTTTGTTTTTGAGAAGTCTGATGCTATGTTTGCAAACTTGTATGCTGTGGGTACTCGAGGCAGTGGTTCTCAACCTGAGGGTCACGACCCCCACAGGAGTCACATGCATCTCCTGAGTATCAGATTACAGTTAACAGTAGCAGAATTACAGTTATGAAGTAGCAATGAAATAATTTTGTGGTTGGGGTCACCATGACAAGAGCACCTGTCTAAAGGGTCACAGCATCAGGGAGGCTGAGAACCACTGCTCTGAAGGAGTACTCCAGTTATTCTCTTTATTCCTTATGTTTTAAGATTTCATGTTGATACTACCTAGTGGTAGATGATAATGATTTAGTATCTTTTATTCTAATTATTTTCATTTAAATTACTTTCATAGACATCTTATAAATTTCATAATTTCAGAGATCGTATTTCTGTATATGAGAAAACATTAAGCTGAGACAAAGAGGTCTATTTGATCTAAAATCTAGGTATGGCTTCCTTTTCCATACTCTTCATACTAAAGGATGAACGATATACAACATATATAATTGCATGTGTCATGAATAAAATTAAATATTCCCATTTATGGATTATTGATTGATATATTATTAAAGTATCCCAGAATAATTTTATCTTACATTTTTGCCTCAAAATCTGAATTATCATTTTCTATAATTTTTAATGTCTTACTGTGGGCATGGAATAATGGATACAAACAACATCTAGAGAATACTCTCAGTGTTAATTAGTAGAAAGTAGGAACACTTGAGAAAACCTTGTTATAGAAGTTAAATGGGGTGTGTTGTACGAAGAGAGGGCCTGCTTTTGGTCCAGCTAGCTTACACCTGAAATAATCACACAGAAATTGTATTAATTAAATTACTGCCTGGCCCATTAGCTCTAATTTCCCATTGGCCAACTCTTACATCTTAATTCAACCCATTTCTACCAATCTGTGTAACACCACGAGGTTGTGGCTTACCGGGAAAGATTCTAACCAGCGTCAGTCTCAGGCAGGAGCTTCATGGCGTCTGCCACTCTGCCCTTCTTCCCAGCATTCTGTTCTGTCTACTCTGCCTATCTAAGTTCTGCCCTATCAACTAGGTCAAGGCAGTTTCTTTAATAACAAATGAAAGCAACACAAATACAGAAGGACCTCCTACACCAGGGTTGAGTGCAGGGCTGACTAAGTGAAGAAAACCATGCTGAATGAGGCTTTTAAGTGCGTGTCCGATTTAATTTCACACCCTCATCAAGGGTGGCAGGTAAATACATCAGAGAATGAAGTGCATCTTGCACAGTATAAAGGATATGATTTTGGTTTTGAATTTGTGCAAATTATGTAAATATGTAGTAGTAAGTGCTTGAGGTAAATTGTTTATTCGGATTTGCTTTTTGTTTTTATTACTGAACTTTTTAGTATTTGAAATGGTTCGTATTAGTAAGTACTAATTGTTCATCCAGAAACGATAGATTGGTTTCTATGTTAGCATTATTTAAATCTGCGATCATTTGACTTTCTTTCTCTCAATATGGGAAAACGGAATCCTGTATGTCCTAGAAATTCATACATTTCACAGTCTTAGAGAGGGTGATTTGAAATGCTTGAAGACACTGGACGTTGAAGGTGTTAATAGGTGAAAAGAGGAGGGATGGGGCTGGTAAAATAGCTCTTTGGGTAAAAGTACTTGCTATGTTAGCCTGATGATTGAAGTTTGATCCCCTAAGAGTCATTGTGGAAAGAAGGAGCCAACTTTCCATAGCTGTTTTC